GGGTCTTCCAAATAAAGTGGACTCCTCCCCTCCTGCGCTCACTGGGAAGGTGATTATGGTGGGCAGTTCATGAACAGAGGCTCATGAACACAATGAACTATCAAGTTACTTTCCTGTGAAGCCTCTCGGGCACTCCCTTGCTCATTGCCCTCAACTACAAAGTCTCAAAGGGGCACAGGCCAGAAATCGGTAGGGAGGAATCCAGTTGAGATGTAACAGGCAGAGAAGGGAAATAGAGGATTGGAGCAATGAAGTCAACAATTCTGGCGGATAAAATCGTTGAGGCAAAGGGACATGTCATCTTGCTTTTTATCGAGGTGGCCTGGCCTGGCCAGTCTTCTCTCCCCCGGACTCACCCTTTCCATATGGTGTGCTTTCGCCTTCAGGCGGGAGATGGTCCCCAAGACTAGCTTTGGGTTTTGTGTCTACCCTATGGGTCCCCAACATATCCTGGAAGAAGGTACTCACTGCTGCTTGAGAGCCTGGAACCGAGGGTAGAGGACATCGTCATTCCACTCGTAGGGCGCGATCTTATTATTGACCATAGTGGCGAAGGCATAGATAAGGTGTGTACACAGGCATGGGTCCACATTCTCGGGCATGTATTTGGCAGGGTCTGGGCGGTACTGGGACCAATTGGTAAAGTAGCACACAAGCTTCGTGGCTGTGCCTGGTGAGAAGAAACACTGAGGGCTGGGGACGCAGTACTCCTGGGGTCTCTTGGGGGAGGAACAGCAGAAACACTCTGGGGACCTCAGTTCTCTCGCTGGACTCAGGGCTGGGACGTGAGAAGGGCACAGAAGGCTCGGATTGGGTGGGTCAGACGACAAGCTAAAAATGTTCGCTCCTGCTCAGGGACGTGAGAATGGAATTAGAGACAAGATGAAATGGAAACCCATTCCCTTGAAGAGGTCCGACTTCTGGGGAGTTAATGATTCCCCAACTCCTCTGCCCTCACCAACTAACCTACTCGTGTTCTTCTTGTTAGTGCCCTTGAGCCGATTCAAACCCCCCATGTTTACAGAGCCGAGCTGTTCCTAGGGGTTCAAGGCAGTGGCCTCTCAGAAGCAGATTGTCAGACCCAAGTTCCAAGACGCCATTGGATGGGGTCCTATCACCAAACTTGCACCTGGTAGTCAAGTGCTTCCGCGTCTAAAGCTACCTGAATCGCACACCCTGCTAGACACGGTTCTGCTTGTGGGCAGTTCTTATTCCCATCGCTGGCTTAAAGGGATGAGTGTTCCAGGTGGGGTAGAAAGAAGGAGGGGGGAAATTCTCACCCTCTCTCTTCTTTTTTGAATGACAACTTTGGGTATCCTATGGAAGCGAGAAACTCTAACTCTCTCAGGTTCTTGAACATGTAAGTCTGCTGATGTTGGAAAGTCCCTTATCAGAAAGAAAACCTCATGATACTTACCAAGCTGCAGCTGAAGCAACACAGCCAGACCTGTCAAAAAGCAAGCAACAACATGATAAAAGTGATTAATGTCACGGAATGGTACGTACATTTTAAATGTTGACATGGCGATTTTTTTCCCCCACATTTAGAATCACCACAATAAAAATAAATAAATTGTTAAGCAAACAAAGCAAAACAAGCCGCAAATACATGATCCAGCTTCTGAAAGAAGCTAAAGGCTGTGGCGCTGCTGGGTAACCATGAACTCAGCTCCCAGTGAGTCCTACCCGGCTACCTCTCCATAGCGTATGCTTCAACAGCCCCCGGAGATGAGGAATGTCAAGTGGGTTAGAGAGGCCGGGTCCTGAAGTCGGGTACTACACCACCTAGTAGGTGGTAAACCAGGAGGAACATGGCTTTGGGGCCAGAGACTGTGAGATTTGAAACCCAGATTTTCTACTGCCAACTGCAGGATGCTGAATACCTTGTTCCATTTCTTTTCATTGCCATTTTCTTCCTGCCCAAAATGGGAGGTCCAAACCCTACCCTGACATTTTGTTGTAAGGCTTAGATGAGCTCATTTAAGTGGCAGGACACCTGTAGAACTGAGTGAATGTCCTGTCCTCTAACCGTTGACCCCATTGACTTACCTTGAATTAAGACCCAACTTAACGACCCTTAACTCAACTGCATGCTCAGTAAGGGTAACCAAGTAAATAGCACTTGTTGGAGTCCCAGAATGCCCCCGATCCTGTGACACCTGCTACCCCCACTTCCTGGGAACTAGCATCCTCTGACTGTTCAGGAACCACAGAGTTCTGGAGAGTCGTCAGGATCGAGGTGAGAGGACATGAAAGAGATCACGTCTACGCCCTGAGGGAAGCGCTAGTTCCTCCTGTACACAAGTTGGTGCTGAGCAAGATAAGTGTGAAAGAAAGGGAGGATTGCAAAAATAATGGATTTAATAGAATATCCTGGAGTGAGGGAAGAGTGTA